GCTTGGGTGGAGGAAGTGTTCATCCCCTCCCAAGGAGCACTTAAAACTTGCTTTTAAGTTCTACAAGAGCTAAGTCAGACCTAGAGGCGGTTATAACTGTATTGCAAAGACAAGGGCACTGGAAGAGGCTTCAGGGCTACAGAACTTTCCTGTTTTCCTTTCTGTAAGATGAATCCATATCGGAAGAGGACCTGATGGTGTAACAGCACTGTTTCCAGGACCCTCTGACAAAACTGTGAAGATGCTGTAGTGTGCGTTATACAAAGGAGGAAGCAGGTGATTAAAGCCAGTATTGAATCTGAATTTCTATAAGCAGAAAAGAGTTGTTCACAAAATGTAAGATTGTAGCAGATAATGTGAAACAAAATGTTAATCAAAGCAACCTGGATGAACAAGTGATCAGTGACTCTGAAACAAGCAGCCGGAGATGCAGTTTTAACTTGGCCGAGTGGGAGCTTTTTAGGAGGAGGAGGAACTGAGAGGTACCTCAGTGCAAAGCTGGAGATTGGCTTCTCTGCTTCTGTGCCATGGTTGTGTTTGAGCGCTCTCTCCTATCTCATACTTCATTGTTTTAAGTCCACCAACTAAGAATTTTTCACGTGCATTCAACAAAAAACATCTAAGTTTCTGTATTTTTGCACATCAGAGCAAAGTCTTCTACCAGAAGATCCTCTGACATCTCCTGTAACAAATGGCTTATTGCAAAAGTGAATTGGCACAAACCATTAAGGGAAATGTATTACAAAACTTTAGAGCTTTTGTAGTACACAGGGTTATCAGTTTTAATCCTGTAACACCTAGATTATTCTTAAAATACAATGTGCAGTTTTGGCCTTTGTTTACTGTTTTAAATCTTTTAATAAAAGCCTGTGTTGTATAAACCCTTTCATACATCTTTATTTTCCATTGTACAAGGCAGAATGCTTAAAAAAGACTGGCTTCAGGTGGATTCAGACCTGGAATAATTTGGGGTAAAGTTATGATTTTTTTTTTCTCTTATCACATTATTTGAATCCTATACAATAAGCTCTGTATTACAATTAAATTTTGTTATACAATTAATTATCTGAAGTTATATTTTAACTATCATAGTCTAAAACCTGTAAAGAAGTAAAAAATACAGTTTGTAGATAAGTTTCAATATTCCTGTGCTTTGGCCTCTATGCTTTTAACTAATTTGGACAATAAATTGGAAGCAGGGCAACAGGCAATAGCACAGTTGGTGCTGAAGTGGGAAAGGAAGACCAGATATTTAAAAACTCAGAAAAAAAAAAGAAAAAGGAACAATAAAAAGAATAGGACTAGTTCCTGATAAGGAAGGAGAGATTTGGTCACTGTTCTTTATCACAGCTCATGGATTTCTATCAAGTAGGTTGCTCTTTTGTCAAAACCACCAGGGCATGTGGTGGAATTTGCAGAATTTTTCAAGTGTTTAAAGGAATCTATTTTCACTAAAATAGTTACGATACATAACAAAAAAATGCATATCTGCTGAGAACAATGTACATCACAAGTTTTCCTTATTATTCTATTTGCTAACAGGATTTCAGGTGCTGTTCACAAGTGCACTAGTGTAGACTTCGACTTCAGCTGAATAGTACCTGTTGGGGAAGGGAATAATCATCCCCAGTTCAGCCTTATCAGGTGGATATGTATACACAATTACAAGCCACATTTCCCTTCCAGGATTAATTACTAATGATACGTTTGCAGTGTGCTTGCAATATATCTAAGGTGATGCATCTGATTATCATTCTTCCCTCTCGAATTACAAAACACATCAATCAAAAGCTAACAGGAGCTGGGACATATGGCATCTCAGAGAGGCACAAGCTGCTCGGCTCCCACCTGTGCCTGGCCTGTCTCGGTGCCAGGAGGGGCCACTGAGTCCCACTGACTTCAGAGCCTGGGAGCTGTGAATTTAGGCAGACTTTTCAAGATGCTGTAGCTCCTGTTCCTTCTGCATGCCACATACAAGTCATCCATGCTGTGTGCTTGGCACCCACAAGGGATATATATTACTGCTGCCTTTTGTACTATTTAGCTCCACTGTGAGTGCTAGTGATGTCTCACGTACAGAGTTGTTGTTTTGAAGCTGCTGTTTCCTTTGAACCGATTTATTTTTGAAGTTTAATCAGTATATTCTTGCAATGCTGCATGTTTTTGTGTTTATTTAAAATATCTCCCTATATATGCTTTATTTATATCCGAATACTTACGCTAGCCAAGACTAGAGCTTATGTTGTAAAATAATTTTAGACAACATACTCTGTGATGAATTCTCTTTTGATTTTGTGGGGCCCAAGCTTTGTGAAAGTTTGTAGATCCAGCCTTTAGTAAGCTTCATACTGTCTGATAAGCCCATCCAGCTGCAGCTCTGTATTTTTTGATCCCACATATGATGCAAAATTAAAAGTGACATGATTTCTTTGTTACTGTAAGCAGGCATTCATACCAAATGAGGTGGTCATCCCTCTGCACCAGTCACACGGTCCTGCCCTGCTACCAGACCTTCCTGTCTGCTGGAACATCATGCAACTGAGTGGTAAAGCAGATCAGGATTAAACCTAAATGATTTTTCTTGTTGCTGGCCTAGTTGTAACCCAATACAGTTTGCTGTGCCGCCACAGAAATCTTTGTATGCGCACAAAGAAGCACAGGGCACAGGTGCAAAAACGAGCAGCTTAAGCAGGAGCAGAACAATCTTTCTCAGCCCCATGACTGTCTTATCATGATCTAATCATGAAACTGTGATACTCTACTTGAAATTACGCTTATAAATCAGCATCTTGGAAAACATGGCTAAGTCACATAATCAGGCTTTTAACTGCTCCCAAACGACAAAAAAAAAGATCGGAAACATTTAAAATGCACATTTAAAAATACCAAATCACAGCAGCAGAGCCAGACTGACATGTTTTATGCTCACAGTAAGGTCAAATCCTTTTGGGGAAAAAAAAAAAAAAGGGACCTCCAAAGACATAGTCTGAGAGTCTAGAAATTGCTATTCATGACCCAGATGCCCACTGAAGAATTCCTGGAACTCACCTTTGTCCCACTTTTCCAGCTCATGCTTCCTATGTTCTCCTTTAAGGCTGGCTATGATTGTTATAGTTTTTTGAGGTTTGGTGCTTTTTAGGTTTTGTTTTGGTTTTTTATAATTATTATTTTTTAAAATTTTTTATACATTTTTTGAAAGTTTGAAATCACAAGAAACTCAAAAGGTGAGTTAAACCTTTGCTGCCCGAGATTGCACAGCAGCAGAGCCTGGAATTAAACCTAGGCATTACTCAGTCTTCAGTTTGTCTGATAACAACGTGGGTTTAGTGTGTTTTCCAACTCTTCTCATATTCCCCTCCCTAATCACTAAAACGTGCCTTCTGGGTAACTGCTGTCTGTGACTTTATGCTCAGTTTAGCTTCAGTTGCTGTATCGTTCATTCAGTTGTGACAGTGGGGAGCGTGAAGTGGGACCTACCCTTATTCTCTAATACCAGGTTATGAAATCAGATTAAGGAGCCATCTGCAGCACTAACTGAAACTGCTCTATAATCTCGTTCTTGGCTCACGCAGAACTTTGGCTTATGCAGGATCTGTGTCTCCTTGAATTATTCACCAGCCTCCCTGCTACTTCTCTCCTTCTTCAAGCTGGAAACATATAGCAAGCAATATGGTCAAATATTTCAGTGATCAAATCATTGTGCTATGAGTATGCTCAGCTCAGATGCCATTTCTGAGATTTAAAGGAATATTTGCGGTAGTTCAAAAGGAAAGCAAAACCTCTCCCTTCATTGCATGTCATTTGAACGTGCTTGAAGAAAGATAGTAGGTCACAGCTTGCTGCTCCTGCCGCTCTGCTGTCGACAGCTGAATTGTTAAATGGTTTAATGCCAACGCATCTCTTACGTAGCTTTATAAAGTCTCAAAACTAAAAATACCTGCTTTTATCAAGTATTTTCACAATGTCTATTTTAGCTAGTCGTGTGCACAGCAAGGTCTTGGTTCGCCGTTAGAAAAAAATAATTCTGCATTCTCAGTCTTTCCTGTTGTTAAAGTCACCTTTATTAACAAAAAGTCCTTTTAAATGACGAAAATTGGAAACTCGCACTGCAAGTTGTCTTTGTCTTCAGAGATCTTTACTACGGGAACGCAGGACGACCCCTAACTACGTGTGTTCTAAAAGCAGTTCTAACAAAGGACGCGGCTGCGTTTGTTTTCGGCCGGCAGACACGGCCGGCGGTTGCACTTCGGCTCCCGGGAGCTCCCTCCCGCAGGCAGAGGGGCAGGATAAAGCCTGCCCGCCTTCCCTGCGGCCGGCGGGACCCGCTCCCGAGCCACGGCCGACAGCGACAGCGGGACAGACAAGAGGCAGGGAAGGAAGAGGCCGAGAAGAAAGGCAGGAGACAGAAGATCCGGAACCAGCAGCCCGAGCAGCGCCTGCTTCGGCTAAAAGCTTACAGAACAAGTGAAAAAAGGGGAGATGCTGCGAGGGTGGGAGGGGGCGGCGGAGGAGCCCAGCCCCGCGTGGGCTGGAGGGCGGACGGGAGCTCAGCTCCGACCCGTGACACCCTCCGGGCCCGCACTTCCAAATCCCACGGCCGCTCCGCTGGGGAGGCGCGCGGGGGGGGTGGGAAGAGGGGCTGTCGCGCGGGGCCTTTTAAAGGCGGGCTGAGCCGCTGCCGCGCGGCGGGCCCGGCCTCCACACGGGAGGGAGCGGAGCGCGAGGCGGCAAAGAGAAGCGGCTGCCTCCGCCGCCTCCGCTGGACGGCCCTGCCTGCCTGGGCGCCGCCGCAGCCCATCCCATCCCATCCCATCCCATCCCATCCCCTGCCGCCGATCCCTCGGGACATGCGGCGGGGCGGGCGCGCGGGCCGGGCGCGCGGCCGGGCACGGACTGTGCTTCCCGTGGGGCCGCGCGCGCCGGCGGCATGCGCAGCGGGCGGGGCGGGGCGGGGCGGGCAGGGCAGGTTGCTGTTGTTACATAGGAAACAGCTGAAGAGTCTCCACATGACAGGGGGGGAAGGAGGAAGTGGGGCGGCCCGCGGGGCTGCGCCGCCGCCGCTGCTGCTCCGGTAGTCGCGGGGCTCGGGCAGCGGCAGCCGGGAGGAGAGCCCTTCACGCAACTCGTGGGCCGGCCGCCCTTGAAGGCGGACTCGCGCCCCGGTGCCGTCGCTGCAGGGAGGCGGGCAGGGAGCAGGGGAGCGCCCCGCCGGGCCGCGCCACCTCGCCGGGGAAGTTTGGTGCGGGGCGGGATCCTGCCAGCCGCGGCGGTGGCGCCGGGCATGAACGGCTTCGCCCCCGAGGAGGTGACCCAGCGCGGGGCAGACCCCGCCGCCGCCGCCGCCGCGGTGGTGGGCAATGCGGGCTCCGCCGTGGAGGTGCCGCCGCCGCCCGCGGCACCGGGGCTGGGTCCGGCTGCCGCCGCGGGCTCTGCGAGTGCCGGGTGCGCGGGCGGCCCCGGGGCCGGGCAGCTGTGCTGCCTCTGGGAGGAGGGGGAGCGGTGCGGCCGCGCCGCCGGCAACGCCAGCTTCAGCAAGCGGATCCAGAAGAGCATTTCGCAGAAGAAGGTGAAGATCGAGCTGGACAAGAGCGTAAGTCCGGGAGGGGAGGACACGCCGGGGCTGCCAGCGGGGCGGGTGGACAAAAGCCGCCGGCGGGTCGCTGCATCCGTGGCTTAGTTGGCTTGGGGGCTTTCAGTAAAGTTTAGTGGGGCAGGGGGTGTTTGGCTGCGGGAAGTGTTCGTTACCCCTTCCCCCCTTTTCCGTAGCACGGCGGAGTTTGGCTGGTGCGGCAGCAGCACTGCCTGAAAGTCCTCTCCCTCCGCGGCGGGGGAAGCGCCCGCCTCCCCTCCCTGCTCCCGGGGCCCATTCCCAAGAGCCGGGGGCATCGGCTGCCTGTGCCCCCTTGCAGCCGCAGCGGGAGGAAGCGTGGCCGCGAAGCAGCGGAGCGGAGCCTGCATGGCTCCTGGCGCGCTGGTCTGTCTGTGTTCTTGGCCAGGGCCGCGCTCGCTGCTCCGCCTCGTGTTGCAGCGCCGCACGTCTGTCTGCCCGCGCCGCTCTGTTCTCGCTCCGCAGCCATCAGGCGCCGCGCTGCGCGGCTCGGCACCGCTGGGCTGGGCAGGGCAGGGCGGGCGGACCCCCGGGCGCCGGGGGCGGCCGCCTTTCAGGGCGGCGGTACGCCCGGTGGGCTCGGAGTGTGTCCGACCCGGCCCGGGGCCGCGGGAGAGCGAAGCGGGACCCCAACGCGCGGCTGCCGCGGGAGTCCCCGGCGCCCCGGCCGGGGCTGCGTGTGCCCCGGGGGACTGCGTCCCGGCGGCACATCGCGCTGCAGGCCGGGACACTAACGCTGCCCGGGCTCTCGTTTCCCGTAAAGCACGCGGGCCTGGAATGCAGGGCTGGTACGCGCCGAGATCTCCCGCAGCGTGCAGAATGCCTACAAAGAGAAAGTTGTATAAAAAGAAAGAAAGTAAAAATAAGTGTGTTGCGTGACCGCGCCGGGTAGCGGAAGTAAAACAAGGAGGGAAGGATATGGACGTGGAAATGAGAGCTGTGTTTTTCCCCTCCAGAGAACAACTGGAAGCTTGTTTTTTGTTAGCGTGCTGCCCGGCCCCGGCGCTGCGATGAGCGGGGTGGGGGGGAGGGCTGTGCTCGCGTGTCTCCACAGCCTGGCACTGCTGAATCGGCCGAGGGCAGCATTTCGGCGTGCTCTGGGCCCAGGCGGTGGCAGCGATCTGTAGCACAGCACACTCACTGTTTAGAAGAAGGCAGTAGAAAAGCTTCCTTAACCCAGTTAACGCGACTTTGATTATTGAAGGGTTGTGTCTCTAGGCGCATTTGTATCTTAAGTCTGGGGGATACACTGTATGGATTTGATTGAAAGACGCCGTTTTACTCTTGTAGGCAAGACATCTGTATATTTGTGACTTCCACAAAAATTTAATTCAGAGTGTGAGAAATAGAAGAAAGAGGAAAGGCAGCGACGATGATGGCGATTCACCAGTGCAAGACATCGACACTCCAGAGGTAGCTAATTAGTTATGTTTGTTTGGGGTTTTGTCCTAATTGCTGTGTTAAACTTGGTTTTAATGACTGCCGAGTCTGCACCGATAGTGCTTCCTCACTTTTACAGCTTTTCTTACTCTGGGGCATGTGGGAAAGGGAAGGTTCTTGATTCACATTGTTCTTAATATAACAAAATTTAACTGAATTTTATGCCATATTTTCTGGTTAAACTATGCAGAGGAGAATGAACAAGAGTCTATTTTTAAGTGATGGTTCTCTAAGAAATCTGCTGTTTTCAGTCTTTTCCTTCTTAGTGCTTCCTCTCCAGAGTGGTGCTTTGCCACGTACCAGCAAACTCTGTCTTCTGTAGGAGTTGACAGCTCGAAGGGAATTGCACCCAGGACTTGGGATATAAATGCTGCTCTGTCCCGTCCCTCCCGTCCTCTCTTCAGTGCTAAATGCGTTGCAGATGGCTCTTGGCGGTTACTCCATTGCCTTAGTCACGTTAAGCACTGAAAAGTTTAACGGTGGTGTCTCTTTATTTCTACACCATTGGTGGGGGAAGAGCCATTTGGAGATCTATGCTAGGAAGGAGTGGAGAAATATGGTGTTTTTTCAACCTGCTTTTTCCACTGCAGCTCAGTGAAACCTCACCCATTTAAAATAAGGGGACTATAGCTTTCATCCTTTTCCATAGTGCAGTGGGAGGGTCTTGGCACCTAAGGCTCTCTTTTTTCTACACGCGCTCTGGGTTATTTCTCTTACAGCATGGCTTAGCAGGTGCTCCTCGGTGTATTAATTTTGATCAGAGGCTGTCATGCCTACCTGGTCCCTTCTGAGAGGGATTGTTTAAGCATTCTTTAGAAATCGCTCTGTGTTAATTTAATGGCATCCTTATGGTCAGCATCTGCAGATAGCAGCAACATAAGTGAGGAAACTTTGTACAGGAATCCGTGCTTAAAGGCACGTGTCTCCAGTCTGAAGGCTCTGGCTAAGAGGATTTTAGGGGATTGAAAGTAGTTTGATGTAGGGCTATGTTGTTTGTCTTAAATATCTGGAACTGCTTCTTGGAAAGTTCTGTCTAAAGCTAATGCTCTGTGTGACTTCAGGTAGCTCTCTGATGCTGTGTAATTGCAGCTCTTCTGCAAGCCTGTTTTGTTTTCATATGCCAGAATTATAAAACATGACACAACTGATGGATATCTCCAGAAGAAGAAAATGAACTTTTTTTCTTAACAGTACTACTGCAGGGAATAAAACCGTCTGGGAACTACTTTTGAGGAGTTTCAGCTGGCTGTTTGGACAGGGGCAGTATGTTCATTCCATGTAATTGCTGTATGTCTTAGATGCCTTGGCCCTTGACCACCTTTATTTTTAATTATTATCCAGTTTAGTAAGGAAAAAAAGTATCATGCTTCTGCCTGAAGGCTCTCCTCTTTCCTTCTCAGTCATTCTCATCTTCCTTCTCATCCCACTAAAGATAGTCTCACTACCTTTACTGGTTAGAAGTGATTCCTACAGGAAGGGAAGAGACTCTTGTAGTACTGGTAGCTTCTGGGACCTGCTGAGAGGCTGCTGCTACTCCTCTGCATGATGCTCTGGGGGTGAGTTCTCCACTGTGACTTGGGAAGTGGAATATAATGCCACAAACTTTAGAACACCAAAGGATACTCATCCTTTACCATGCAAGGTGCCCTCACCTCCAGTCTGGCCAGGTTGCCAAGTATGCAGTAGCACTACTGTTTTAAGTATTCTATAGTGAGGCTGTTAAAAGAATTTAAAGCAAAAATGAATGCTATCATCAGTCTTTAAAGTAGTGAACTTGGAGAATACATCTGGTAGAATTTCTCATTCAGCCTGTTTTCTCAGGTTGCTTTCCCACTCAGTCATCGGATTAAGCTCTTATGTTATCTAAGAGAATGTGGTGGGGGAGGTAAGCTGTTGCTGGGAGAAGTGATTGTTGATCAGAGGTCATGGGATTCAAAACTGACGGACTACTGGATTAAAACAGTGTATTTGTATCCCTAAGAGAACCTTGTGCAATTCTCTCAACTGTTGACTCACACTGAAAAATAGTTTTGGACATTTATGCCCTTGCACATAAGTCCTGTATTGTGCTTATGTAGCAGGGATACATTTGGAGAGCAAGAGCAGCTGTTTTCTTTTCTCACCTCAAGCCAAGAAAACTTTGTACTGCAGACTTTTTCCCGATTTTGATGCATGCTCTTTCATGGTGCAGATATGCTGTGTCTTGCATGTAACTTATTTAAGATTTAATGGCTGAAATCACATTATTGGAGCTTCCTTTGAGTCAGCATCTTCACAGATGTTAGATGAAAGTTGTTACTGGACTTTGTGTTATTGTACTTGAACTGGGGAACAGAGAAAAACCCATAACTGATTAAAGTACAGTAATGAGTTCTAAATACTGTCCACAGCTAAAGGGAGGCAGAACCATGCTCAGTAACAATAAAATGCTCTTAAACTGAACTGTGCTATTTTCCTTTCTGCTGGAAGGTGCAGGGTGGAGTTTGTTTTTTGTCAAAATGACATCTACTGAGCTGACTTTTACACTTGTGTATTTGTGAGATTCCAAAATGTTTTTGAAAGGCAAATTATTAATGACTGAATCTTTTTCAGTTACATTAGTTTGTTTTCCTCCCCTTCCCCATCTTTTCTTCTAGGTTGATTTATATCAGTTACAAGTAAACACACTTCGAAGGTACAAAAGACACTTCAAGCTACAGACCAGACCGGGACTTAACAAAGCACAGCTTGTTGAAGTATGTATGAGTGTTTTTCCATAATAGAAAATGCAGCTTGCTATCCATAAAGTGCCTGTATAATCTGGATTTTGGGAGAACAAAAGGGAGCTGCTTATCTAGTTTCCTTCATTGGCCACAGCTCCTGAGCCAAGTAAATAAAAAATAGACGCTTTTTCCAGAGGAGGAGCTCTTAACTTCCAAAAGGAGTATTTGCTGCTTAAAAACACAGTGTTGACTTGGAACAGGAAGATGATGTGTCTCCCTCTGAATACCATAGAATTGTTGAGCAGTGAAGTTCTTGTAAGGTGTTCAGACTTTGCTTTAAAAAACTAGTTACTGCAACCATAGGTGTTTCTGTATATGTAAAGTACAGAAACCTGAAAAAACCATGCTTCTATTGATAATTAATTCTGTTAAGACTACTTGGGTCTGCTCTCAGAAAAATAGATTTTTATGAAATTACGGTTTTTCTTACCAGTATTTCTAAAAATGCTGAAGCTGTGTGTAAGTACAGCTGTACATAAGCATCTTTGCTTCATGTGAGTGCAATTTTAAAGGAATTCTTTTGTGCTGCAGAGATGCAGTCACAGCATGTTTGTGTAAGTAAGTGGAAGAGCTGGTGATCTTTTAACAGGGAAGCATAGCTACTGTTTTTTCACCTCTGTACAGTGATAGACTCAGTTGTGTTTAAGTGCAGACACCTGTTTGTCTCTCCCTTAATCTGTGTGGATTAAAAACAAGGTTTTTAGCTGTACGAGCAATCTCAAGGCTGAGCCGTAAAATAATAGTGCTACTACCACTGTGCGTAAGAATGCAACATCAGTCTTCAGTTTTCGTAAAAGTAGGTTAAGGTGCAGCTACCTCTTGGATTAGCAAGACTGTGAACTGAAAAAGCACAAGCAGTTTTTGTTCTACAAAACTGTTGTTTTTAAGAGTCTGATTAAGGTACATCTCATGATGCAATCTCATGATTACACTAGTTTATTCTTATGCTACATGGTGTGCATGGGCAAAGCTCCTTCTGTCACATGCTTGATTTAACTGACCTGCAGGTCTTTGTGAACTATAACCACAGAACTTCCTTAGTATACAGTGCATGTGATTCCTTGTAACCTGTCCTAACATACAATAGACACTAGCTGTTACTTAAAGTCCACTTCAAAGGATTCTGTCAAACTGCTTCTCTCTGGATGTTTTTGGGGGTAGAATTGAGGAGGTGTCCTAAATTTTTAATTAGGCTAAACACTTATTCTTAAATCCTGTGGTAGTTAAATGAGTAGTCCCATGTTTCTCACTTGTTAATTTTAACCTACTAACCTGGCCAAAAGCCAGAGAATGGACTCAGACTGGTATAATATTTTGTGTATTTTCTTTTAATGATGTTCATTTTGATGGAGGGAAAGACTTCTGAAATGACAGAATTGATTCAAGAACTGTTTACAGATTGTTATATTTTAGTGGTTGTAGCATGCTGAAATTTCATTGATAGCTCTATTTTGAAGAGCTGAATGTTCAATTATAATTCTTGAATATTCTTGTGTTAGATGTGTCTGTTTGTGATTTGATGCAGACACAGACCACCTCCCAAGCTGAGTGGTGAGCAGTAGCCTCTTATTTCTGTGCTGACACGGCTACTATTCTATAGTCATTACCTGCTTTATATTCAAGACTTAACTAAACTGATTTAGTGATAGTCTCATGCTTGTTTTGATAACTTTGGGTTTTTTCCTGGAAAGTTTCTGGACTTTTTACTTTGTAAATTAGGGTATAGGCTGATATATTTATTTCATAGTTCTCAATAAAATGGTTCCTGTTTACCTTTTTTATGACTATTAAGAACTTTTGAGGAAAGGCAGCTTTTCCTTTTTTTGCAAGCTTCTTGATCAGTCTTTCAAACTTTAACATAATAGATTTAAATCTGAATTGTCAGTTTCTGTATATAACCTGTATATAAGTGGTTATTTAATTTCCTTGCATTCTTCCTTTATAGATAATTGGCTGCCATTTTAGGACAATTCCAGTGAATGAAAAGGACACCTTAACATACTTCATCTACTCGGTGAAGAATGACAAGAACAAACCAGATCTAAAGATGGATAGCGGGGTTCATTAGGCGGAAAAGGTTGGGACTGAGACTCACACCGCAAATCTAAAGACTGAGGTTTTGTTGATATGCAGAAGCTTTCTTTGTAATTTTTTCTCCTGAGAACAATTGTCTCTGTTTTATTTTTCATAACATTGCTGATTTGTTTGAAAACCATCTCTTATGAAACAAATTTCCTCAGCAAAAGTATTTTAAATAAATATCACAGATATTGTTGCTCAAATGGGTGTGTCTGTAACTTTAGTGAGTTGGACTTGATGATCCTGATGGGTCCCTTCCAGCTCAGCATATGCTATGATACTTGTACCTAATAGTTAAGCTTTGAATTATGTAATAATATTAAAATATTTTTCAATTAAAGTGTGCCAAGGATATATTTATGAATGTACTTAAAGTTCTCATGATGCAATGCCTTTAATTTAAAAAAAAAAGCTGTAGCAGACCTGGCAATAGGTTCTTTTTCATAAGGTAAAAGGCTTTAAGTAACAGTTCCAGTTGTTAGCTGGGCAGAAATGGCTGAATAACACTTTCTTTTTCCCCTTTGGAAATAAGAATCGATGGAAGTTTTTCTGATTTGTTTATTCACTTTGTCCTTGCTGAGATAATGTGCTTCCAAGCTCTGAGGCCATCCTACTCCTATATTAAAGTGGAAAAAAATGCTACTCTCGAATTTCAAAGCTGTAAGTACGGATGAAGAGACTGCTGCAGCTTACTGTGCTGAGAAATCCTTCAACTCAGTAAGAAATCCTTTAGCTGCTGACTTTTCCATTCGTTTTCATGGACTACTGCTAAGAACTTAATTGGAGAATGAGAGTCAGAGTCTGTGCAGGGTCAATACAGTATCTTTTAATAGGTATACTGTTTCTTTTTCATTGCATGCATTAGCTCAGACCTGTTTAAAAAGAATGAAAAACCCTCTCACAATAAACCCAAAACTTATGGTAACATATGAGAAAACTATCCAGCAATATACTTATGCTTTTAATTTAGTGTCTTAGTAAAGTCTGATGTTGAAGATGGTATTACGAATGGCTTCTTTTAACTATTGTTCCAGTCCAAATGTGTGGTGTATGGAATATGATTTCTTTCTGCTTTAAGCTGTGCACATAGGGTGAAGAAAAAGCTGAGGGAAAATAGTTTTCATCTTAAAGCAGAGGAGGCCACAGCTTCAGCTTGTTCACTAAGCATTAAATTGCAACTCCTAACCTTATCCGAGGTTTATAAGCTCTTTCTTAATTTGGGAAAAATGAAAAAGCAGTATGTCCATGGTCTAATTTGCTCGATAATTATCTTGTAAGGTTTTTTTGAAAATTACTACTTTTCTGGCATCACTGCAACTAAGATGCTTTACTTTGCTTTTTTTTGACCTGTGACACTTGCATAGAACTGAATGATGATAAACCCTAATCTCAAACTGGCTGTCTTCCCAGTATCTCTCAGTGGTGTGATTTTTCATTGCACTGTTTTATGTATTTCCACAATACAGTTCTGCAGTGCTGGCCTAAGTTCAAGATGGTTAGTGATATCTAGCTAGTGACAGCTAAAATTGGTGCTCCTTTGAAGATAATGTTTTCATGCCTGTTTCACTACAGGGACTGTCAATTTGTTTGCTAAATATCCTTTACACAAGTTCAACTTCTTATCTTCAAAGTGCAAGTTGCATAAACAGCCAGGGAGCCTAGTCATGGATAGGACATCCGAATGATAAAGACTTTTTTCCTCTGAGTGCATGATGGGGTTGAATGTTCTCACCTAGGCCTGGCAGGACCTGTAGAAGAAGCTGTGTGAGGGAAGGAGAGTGGGGAGAGGAACAAAAACAAATTTCTATGGGAAATCAGTGTTAAAGTAGTAACTTAAGTGACCCTGTCCTGCTGCATGTCTAAAGTGGCAGAACTTTGCTTCAGTGGATTACGGATATTTCAGGAGTGGTGGAGGGCAGATAACTGAAAGCCACCAACTTTAGTACCCAAATTTGCATTTGCCTTAATTTTTTTGCTATTGCTGCTTTGGAAAGCTGTGAATGCCAGGCATATGCAACATGATTTTCGTAGAAACTAGATGGCACAAACAACAGAAGTTTCATACCCTAGAAGCTTATAAAGGACTTTGCACAAGAGCAGTTGCCATATGCTTTGTTAGCAGAGCTCTGACTTCAGATATTTTCACTGTGTTGCCAGATTTATGGGCTTTATTTTGCTCTTAATTTGGTAGGAAGCCTAAATGACTCAGGAATAATTACACAAACAAAGCTTAAAAAGCCCAGTGACACAAACTGTTTAACAGTCAGTAGTGCAAAAATAGTACACACAGATTTACTTGCAACCTTTATTATTGGCAATGTATAATCACCCCCCCTCAGTATCTAACCCTTGCTTGCGAATAGGAAGAAAAACTAGTCACCCTGATACTTCATACCAGCACATGAAGTAACCTGGTAAACTGGTCGTAGAAGTTTGGTCTAATGTGTAAGATTATCAAGTGAATGAATAGTGCGCTTTTTGACTGGAGATGACTGAATAGTTACTTCAGTACTGCATACCTTCCACATGACTGACTTAATACCTAAGGAGTCTTTCTGTGTAAGGCAACAAGCCAGGTTTACTGCCTGTAAGTGTGGCCTGTTCTGGTGGCTTTCCTTAAACTTATACAGTCACTGCTCAACACCTTCCAATATAGATTGCAGTATAAGCAAAAAACAGTAAAAATGTATGTCTCTTTCTATCTATTGCCTAGCTACCTCTTAAATGTTAAGATGATTACCTCTATGTCTTCTCCTCTGTAGCTATTTCCTTACAAGGCTAGCCTAAAAATAAAAAGTCAGCATTTTAACTTAATTCTGGCGTACTGTATTTCAAATACGGCTTGTTTAAAAAAAAAAAAACTAGTATTTTCAGTCTTCAGTGTTAATATTAAGTAATTTAAGGTTTTACGGATTGCATGGTTAAGGCAGGTGACACATAATTAACACCTAAGTGTGCTTTAGTACTATTAATGTCAGTTTTTACTTTTGTTTTATTCCAGTGGAATATTTTCAAATATGAAAATACACACCTTTTGTATGTGCGTGTATTTTAAGATGCCTGAATAGAATGTGAGAGCCTGTCTGCAAAAGTACCAGGGACTGAGTAGCTTCAGCTTAAAAAAGCATTGAATGCAGTAGGAAGCTGCACTGCCATAGGTTGCTGTGAGAGTCGTGTTCCTGATGACGTGAAGGCTCAGGCTTGAAGTTTCTTCATCCAGACTAGTTGAGAATATTGTGCTGAGAAAGAAGAATTATACTTTCTGCTGGGGTATGCGTATTAGTATGCCTTAAGAGCTTGTACAGACTCTTAAACCGTTGGAAATTAGGTCATCTACCAAATTTGAAAGAACTTCTTACGTGCTTGATACTCCATAAAGGTGTAGAAAGGAAATTTTTCTGCAGTGTAAAATGAGGCACCATTTTGTGGTTAGATGGTGGTGGTTTTGTTTTTCCCCTTGAAAGCGTTATTACACAATTGTAGAATAATGTCTGTTATCTTCACCTGCAGACTTGAATCACTGGCTGTTGCAGGGGATCACAAAAGATATCTTTGGTCCAAAGAAAATATCCCTGAAAGATATGATCAGATATTTAAATAATTAGCTCATTAGTTTATCAGAGCTTTAACATGACATACATTTCCCATTGGGGATATTTTTTAGCATATATTGTGGTACATGTAGGATTATTGTGTTTGTGGGAATGTCCTTCCAGCAATGCAACTGCAGATCTGAATGAAGATACTGCCTTTCTACCTCTGCTGACCTGGTTCAGAAGCGGTGACAAAACTTTCATTGACTGACCAAATTGCCAGAACTCCACCCTGGTATTTTAGCTTTGAGAAAATAAACTTAACAAGTAGATTATATTATCAAAATAAAAGACTTTGGCATGTGCATGCATACTGGTTTACTGCAGTTTGTCCCTAGAGCAGACATGCAAAGAATGTCTTGTGTAGCTCAGGATGGTGGAAAGAATGCTTTCTGAAGTATTTTTTAGGCTGCTCAAAGCTCAGAGGTTGAAGCTAGAAACTCAAAGTGTGCTTGAGAGTGAGGACACCGTAACTGGTTTTAGGGAGAGATGGAAAACTTACTTAAACCCTGCTCTCAGTTTGAATGTGAGATTTTTAGCTTTAGAAGTCTTTACCACTTGGTTCAACTCGTCTCCCCTACAAGAGTGTTGAAAACTTGCCCTTTATTGGAGTTTAGGGAATGTTAAGAGGAGCAAATATAAAAAAATTTTGCTTGCCTATATAATACCATCACATTTTAGTGCCCCTGAAGTATTAATAAGTTTTGAATTGTTATTTCTAATATAGATATACTGAAGAAAAGATGTTGCTGAATATATGACAGAATACTCTTAATACATTTTATTACTTAAAACCAGTATGGGCTGGTGATGGTTTTTTGAGTCAGTTATGTTTTTTCTGTGTAACAACAACAAAACGCTCATGCTCAGTGAGAACTTCACTGTTAAGCTTTGTCAGCTGTGCCCGCAAACCACAGAAATGTAGATGTTCTGGGACTAAATCTTTTCCCTGTCTTACAGGTATTTGTGAACCTCTGTTCCCTCCATCTGATTTCCTGCTGTTAACAGCTATCTTTACAGAACCATTTATTCAACTGACATACGTGCATACACCTTAGAACATCAATACTGTTCTGTTCCATGGGACAGAAGTCAAATAGTTTTGTTTGTGGTCCGAAAGCATCTTCATTGCAAAATGCTGTGGATAAGGGTTTGATGTAGTTATACTTAGTTTGGATCAAACAGAGGAGTTGAAAGTTGGGTGATTTTAAATGCTGAAGTCCCCAATACTAGGACAGGGAGGTTTACAAAATATGCTAAGCAAGTCTTACGTGAGCCCCTGAAGACCAAAACCTGAGACACTGACAGCGTATCAGATAATGGTCTATATCATTTCAAGCCATCTGAAGTGATTAATTTCTTTAAAGTGGTAGCTTATTCCACCTGTGGAAACTGTAAAATGATGGAAATATAATGAGCAGTTGTAAAAAACTGTACAAGTTTACATGCAATGAGTATGGTCTTACTTTGGGCAGCAGAGCAATTCATTCAAGTTGCAGTAACAGATCACCTCACAGCCCTTCCCTTCCCAAAAGTGATCTTGCAGACCATCATGAATTTGTCGAAGGTTCTCTGTGCCTTCAGGGATGTTCTGACAGTTGTGGTCTTTGAGGGCCCTCTTGTAACAAGAATGGCGGTGGGAAGGCACCGCGAGGGTAACCAGGAGGGTGCTCAGCAGAAGCAGCGCCGAGAACATCTTCATTTTTGCAGCTTCCCACAGCAGGGTGCTAAAGAGAAATGAGGTACGTGACACAGGTATTGCAGCTGAACAGACCTCTTTCCTCAATTGGCTTCCATACTTACATTTTTCTTTTCTTCCCTGTGAAGTTTTGGAGGATTGAGCATGAGTTCTGGAGAGTGTTTTCTCCTAGGAGGTAAATAATATTGCAGCAGAATTGATATTCATTACTTTCTGTACAACCTTGGAAATCCTTTCATCAGGAATTGAGGCTTCTGATGCTGGCAATTTTGTTGTTTCTTTGGCCTCTCACCTTGAGAAAATTGCTTTGAGCTGGCTGCATTTTCTCAGTGGTATAAGTGATTGTATTGATTGCTGCCAAACCAGGGGAAAATGTCTGGGTGTGTGTCCTTGCCTTCCTGGCCATTTTGCCTGTCAAAATACGAGTCACTCACATAAAATTAATAGTATCCTTTCCCATCAAAGTTGTGGAAAAACTGTTTGCTGATTGAATCCTCTGTCATGGGCTGCTTGAGAAACTGAAGTGTTACACAGCTGAGAAAGCTGAAGCTCTCTGCAGTGGTGCCGAGTGCCACTGTCCTAGACTGCATGTTAGGGTATGATACTGCATTACGGAGAACTTTCTTTTTTTATATTGGTTGGTGGTTTGTTTTTTTTTAAGTACTGCAGACTGCTTAAGTTGAGCCTTGCTACTGGAGGCCATTATGGCTTAATTGGCTTTTTAAAAGGTGGGATAAATTATCCCTTGCAAAACTCTCCTGCTGGTGACTAGGATTTCCGTTGTCTTGTTTAACACTAGCTCTGCTGTTCTTAGCTGCTTTGCACAGTTTGACCATGCTTTGGATAAGATCCTTGAACTTGCATTCGCTTTAAAATTAGCATTTTCAACCTAGACTTTATTGTATGAGGAGAGAGAGTGGGTGTTATACCTTTCCTCATGCTTGAACAAAAGGGATCTGACATGTTACTGAATTTAAATGGGAATTCTGCTCTGAAAACTAACCTAAAGCAATGACCAGCTCTGCCAAGCACTCTCTCTGTGTGCTCGTTACTGTACTCGCTTTGGCCTCAAGGAAGACTTCGCCATCCTTCATCCTGTTGGCACTTCGGAGTTGATCCCCTGACGTGCTGGCATTATGGGCCAGCCCTAGTCTTTCTTGTGGGGCTGCGGATTAGAGTGCTCTAGGCTAAGCCAAAAATAACAAGGCGTTAAGGCAATGTCTGGTCAGAGACTATCAGAGGCCATGTTGAGATGGCAGAGCTCTTATCTGGTTAAGTTAAAAAATGAGGTATGCCAGCTATAGAAGTCAATTAATAGAGTCCTATATGAGTTATTTTGTGAAAATCCTGAGGTCACCCTTGAAAAACAAACAATAAACTTTTAAATATATAAATTTACAGTATTTTGTAGTAATTTTTCTAGAGTAGTTTTCTTGGCCCTATAGCTGTCCTGCTTATCTTCCATTTCTTCAGCCAATGAATAACATGCCAGGGACTATTAGAAAATCTGGGAATATAGATTCATATTAGGGGATGACACCTCAATGCTCTTTGGTTTTGTTTTAATATTTAAATTTGGTTTTTAAAACATTGGTATTTATATTTAGACTTGATTTTTTTGAACACTAGTAGCCAAATAAAATATTAAAAAGTGGCCTATATACTAAAGAACATGACTGAAGTGGAAATAAGCTCTTGTGTACTTTTTTAACTTCTGTTGTAGAAGCAAAATTCATGGAATAGTTCCTTTTAGTTTCCATGAACTTGTATGGGAACTCTTTGAGTAGAAGGCTCCTATACACTATCAATAGTTGAGTCTTGGGGATCATGGTGTCTTGCTCCTGTGTACTTTTTAAAATTATTTTATTACTTCTAATAATTCATGTGATCTTTCCCTACCTGGAGTTCAGCTGGAATGCTCAGTTGAATCTGTTGCCAGCTGCCTATCTCCTCAAACTTCCCTTTAAAAGGAATTCACTCTGTCCTGAGAATTGGCAGATTCTTTACTGTCAAATTACTGGATTCAAAAATCATGACCTACAGTTTAAGATGATTCTGTAACTCAGTACTTGGCTTGAAATATAACAGAATATTGCTCTAGTGCATTGTCAAGAGTGGGTGTCAAAATCAGTATTGGCGAGGTCAACATGCAGTAGAGCAATGGATAGACAGCTTCTCTGATAGGTCACCTATGCACCTTACCAGTGTTCAGCACTGTTATTATTCAGAAAAGAATATTTATTTTAATTTTGTTTCTGCTTAAATATTTCCTCTGTGGTTTTTTGCAGATCATAACCACATGGAAATTTTTAGTCAAAAGACCTATCTCAAAAGGCTGCTTCTTTCCTGAGAATGGTCCCTATTTGCAATGAAAGATTGCCAAGGACCTGAAGTGTTTCATCAGCTCCCTGCACAGGATCAATGCTGGTAAACTCAGCAGACCTTTCAGATGCAGCATCTCTGTCTGACAAAGTGCTGCAACTTCTCTTCCTGAATACAGGATTGCACAGATGTTGGAGTGTCACTGATCGCCTGGGTAAAGAACAGAGCTAATATGCCTGTATTTATTTCAAAATGGGTGCCAAAAAGACTTTATCTGCTTTTGCATACCGCAGAAGACAGTCTTTTCTCATAAAACAAGTCAGGAAAATGTGAACAAAACTCATCACTAAGGTGGCTCAAAGACTCATTGCTTCCAAGCATCTTCTTCTATTTCTTTATTTTATAAAACCTTCTGTAAAGACAGCAATGCCATTCATGCTAAGCCTGACAAGATTGCGCTATCAAGATTGTATAATTTCAAATTCTAGCAGGAATAAAGCCGTCTGAAAATACTGAAAATGAACTTGCATTTACATAAGTTCTTTTTAGTTAATTATTTTGGTTTTTTTGACATTGTATAAGTAAAGTTTGAGGCTAAATGCAGCTGGGAGTACAAGTGCTCTGAAATAGTTTGGAGCTTTTTGTAAAGGAAAAGGGTGAATGGGAATATGCATGGTAAGTCAGGAATCAGTGTAGTCCCTGCTTTTTCAGCTGAGAGTGTTTGAATTATCCTGCCAGGCAATTTGGCATTATTTAGTCTTTGGATCTGCTAGATGCAGAGGTAGTCAAAAAAGACCAAAGAGAAAAACTGAAGTTTCAGCCTCCATGTCCAAGAACAACAGGGTAATAGTTCATGAGAAGTGATGCCCTTTAAAAGCCACATGGTATCAGTCGGAGCTCAGGTGTTAGAAATAGGGAAAACAGAATGGCAGAAAATGTGTATTTTGGCACCTCTAGGGATCCTCCATGTTTGGAAAAAATATAAATATTTACAAGTTGGTTTATCAACCATTAAATATACCCTTCCTTTATCCTTAAGCAGACTGTGTCTCTAGTTGCTTAATGTTGAAAACAAGAAATACATTAATTGGTACACTTTTGGTGTATGATCTTTTCCAGTCTGTCCAGTGGCACGTGCCACTTAAGTTGCATTTAAGAAGCAAGTATATATTAAATTTGTTTCCCTTTAATGTGTTTTGAGTTCAAGAGCTAAAAATACTTATTGATAATAAAACATATATTATTGTTTTTGTTGAGTTTCCCTTTCAGAAACACCTGTAAAATGCTGAGCTAATTATTTAAAATTTAGGTGTGTCGGTGCGCAATAGTTAGGTTTGTTAGCGCATTCCTAAGAAATCATTACATAGGACCTCCATAACTGATAATATTGTAAAGAATTTTTTCCATTAAAAAAAAAAAATCCTTCAAATCTTATTTTATTTGAACTGTTGGTGCACTGTAAGGACAGTGTCTATTCCACTGAGGATGAATTCAGTGAATTACTGCTTTGTAATTATCGTCAATACCATGATTCTTTCCAGAAACTGAGCTGTCATTAAACCCCATTTATTTTTCTTTAAGACAGCAATTCATTGTAAATGCACCCCTCTCCATATACACCAATTTTGCAATAATATTGAGCACTGGAAGGCAATATAGTATGCTTAATGACCTCAGATGTTAATATGTAGCATCCAACTTTGAAAGAAAGCAAGATAGTAAAAGAATTATTTTGAGCTGGATCATAGCCATGTATCTGTCTTAAATAGCACCTCTTGGCTATGATATAGCAGCTTCTCCCAAATCCTCCTTTGGGTGCTTCCATATATATTTCTAATTCTGTACTCTGTAACTAGCAGCAGCAGAACATGTGCACAAGGATAATTTCAGGAGCAAAACGTACCTTTTTCTTCTGCTTCACTCCCTTTCACTTTCTTGGCAGCTGTATCTTTTTAGATGTACCCAGAGAGAGCTAGAACTAGCGGGGATGAGAAGAGAGAGGGAGGGCTGATGGGAGATGCTGTACAAACAGTCCTTTGTTTGTCCTGACTTCTGCCTGTGACTGACGAGCTGTTCTCCAGCAAGAGGTCAGAGGAAGCTCCAGTAAGGGATCAGAGGATGGGCTTCAAAGAGTTACCTTTTGCAGTCACTGCCAGCCTTGTCTAGAGGCAAAACCATGGATGTATTCCTTCTAGCAGGAAACAATTAGTTCATCCAGGATCTGATGCAAAGGTGTCTTCTCATAGAGTAAAGCATAACACTGAGAACGGCAGAAGAGGAAATATCCTGTGGAATAACTGTGTCTTGCCTGTGGTGTGTGAGCAGGCTGGAGGGAGCGGGAAGCAGCAGACTTCTGGGGTTGCACAGCCAGAAGAACGTGGTTTCTAGGCAGATGCCTTCTTTTGCATTTGGTGGAGAAGAGCAGACCTACCTAACAATCTCATGCAAAGCTTTAATTCTTGACTTTGGGATCCTTTCAGTTTTCTGGAACTGACATAATAAAAAAACCCCTTTCATTATTTTAACCTAAATTCTAGTAATGCATGCTCAGTGATGCCATGCATTGAGTTCTTTACTGAACAAGTGTTTAATCAAGAGGTAAAGCATTACACTGAACAGTGTTTCAGAGGAAGTTATTTTAAACTAATACAGCTAATCAAATTATCTGGTACCATAAAAACACATAACAAGGTTCTTAAATTGAATTGAAGTATTATATATTAATGAGAAAATAGTCTTGAGGGTGAAGCATGTGTCCTCATATTTCTGTTGCAATTTGACCCTCATTCTGTTATAACCATCCTGGATTTATTTTGCGATGGGAATAGAGAAGTATTATTGTTGAGCTGTAGTTCTTACATTTTCTTCTGTGCATTGTTTTGATTCTGATGTTTTGTTGTAAAACTTTGGTTTTCTCTATCTGTTGGGCTGCTTCTAGTACAGAGGTTTGTTAGGAGTATCTCTACCTCCTTTTTTGTGAGAAGTGCCTCTACTCAGCTGGCTCAGTTTACAGTTGGATGTCTTGGTGTTTGTTCAGTTTGATTTATTGTATGCCAGAAGTGAGCTAGGGCCTCTGTAAGAAGTGCATATTCATCTTCTGCTGCCTCAGCAAAGAGAGGAGGAGGCAAATGGCACAGATGTTTAGAAGCAAACCTTTGAGACTGAGCCTACTTACTTGAGGTGGTTCCATCCACCAGGGTGTTCCCCCTCTCTGCTGG